CAGGGTTGCAATGTTTATACATGAATGTTAGGGAATTGTATAGATTAAAGGATTACTGCAATTACAACTACCAATCCTGGTACATATCTGCCTTCTTGTAAAGCACTTTCAGATCTACTGCTAAAAAGCACTACATAGGAGTGAGGTGTTGTTATTCTTAATCAGTAATGAACTACCAGAGCACTCACAAAAAGATTACTGAATTCATCTTCAACGTACTTGTAATGTAGGGAAGTACCCTGTTTTAGAGATGCTGGCTGAGGCATAGAGAAATTAAGTGACTTGTCCAAGGTCACATTGGAAATGGGTGGCAGAGCAGAAAACTGAATCCAGAGCTCCTGCGTTCCAGGCCAATGTCTTATCCTCAAGACCATTTTTCTCATACTGTCCATCCCCCTGCTAGTGCAGAATAGTTCCCAACAGTGTATTTTCTAATGCTTTATTCTGACTAGTTGTAAAACAGTTCAGGCAATAAATGAGGTTTTTATGTGTGCCAGATTTTCTATGACAAAGGCCAGTTTCAAAAGTCTAAAGTGGGGACACAGAAACAGTGTTCAACAGAAACTTAATTGAATGTCAAATTTACACGTATGTAGTCGTTAATGAACAACATTGTAGATTCTCCCCCAGCAGACTGATAAATATAGCATAAATATAGCATGGTGGGATGTGAACATGACTTCTTTCTTCACCAAGAAGTCAGTTACAGCCTAGTGCACCAGGCCAGAATGGAGACAACAACGTTTAATTTAAATCAAATCTATTGTAGCAGGTAGTAAAAAACTACATTGTTCAAAGGGAATACTTTGACAAATTTGTCTCCTGTATGCATAGTAAAAACAGCAGCTGTAGAAATATTGTTTGTGCCTCTATTTTAAATGGCTGTGGCTGGTGTACTGCATGGCTATATTAGCTCCATGCACAAATCCTATCAGATCGAAGCAGAAATAGATTCCATTTATTTCTGAAGTATGCAGTCGAATGTACTTCCCATGTTAAAAACCTTAAGTAAAGCCTTTTTGTTCCTTTTGATAATTATTATTATTACTACCCACCATCTCCAAATTCACGCTGATCTGTTCTGACATCCCAAATTGAACAATCCTTTAAGGTCACTGTTCGGCAAGAACTCCATTACACTGTATCCATGCTATTCGGGGCAGTTATCTCCCTTTATGGCACACTTTTCAAAATGGTTTTTATACTCCAAGTAATCTTTAAAAACAGACTGGTGTGCCCAATAATGAACCTCACTTACCCAAGTCCCTATGCAACTGCTTGCTATTCCATTTGAGTTTTTTGATAACTATGACATCTGAGAATTATGCATTCTGGAATGTCAAAGCAGCCAGCCTGAGACTGGAGGTTGCTAGGGATGTTAAAAACAAACCTCTCTCCCTGCCACCCATTTGTGCAGAATGTCTGCTTAGGTTGTTTAATAAAAAACAATCAACACATCTTTCCTAAATTAATGAACTCTACCCTTTCTTCTGCAGCTCACCCTTACAATGAATTATAGTATTGCTCCTCCAAAAAAAAGTTACAGGTATGTTGAGCTGTACTTTTAAACTGAATCTTTTCTTACCATTTTACACAGTATTTCATATTACTGCATGCGTGTTGTATGATCATGTAATAATACACCCTACTTTCTGCATACACACAAGGGACAGAACTGAAGTAGCCATGGATGTTTTGTAACTGAGGGTAGAATTTAGTCCTGCAAAAGGAATTTAGTAACCTTTTGAAGCATAAAATTGAATAGAATCCAACTCACTCTGCCCACAATGGTGTTGACTGTGCAATGCTTACAGGTGTAAGAAATAGCATACGCTTACTGCCACTAACATAAAATTGATTTGACCCTTGTGTATTCATGACCATATTAGATAGTTTCTGTCCTCTTTCAGCTGCTTTTCTGACCATAGCAACATATTAAAGGTAGCACTTATGTTGCACCTTTCAAATAAATGTAATCCTGTTTACACAATCTGAATCAGGTATTTCAAAGGCTGTACATTCAAATGAGTATGTGAACTTTCAGAATACCAAAATGAAAAGTTATAAACCTATTCGAATGTTGAGCTGGAATCCTGGTTTGATATTAGTTATTGATCTTCAACAGCTAAGAAAAAACAGCAAATAAAACCCTATGTCCATCTGAATGTACAAGTCATCTTAACAGTATTTTTGTTTATATATTATATTTTCATAAATTATATTAGCAATTATGACTTGAGACCGAGTTCTTCCTGGGAGTTAACAGGCTAAGGTAAGAACTTTAGCTTCAGCATAGGCTTTCAACACCTCCAGTAGCCATTAAATGCCCTCCCTAGTCACTACTGTTTAATCCTCCTCCTCCTCCTCCTCCTCCATTATATTCAGACCAGAAAAGCTATTTCTAAACTACATATCTTCAAAATGTTGCTAAAGCACCAACCTTATTTGTGGATTATGGACATGCTAAATTAGGACACAGTCAACTTGAAATCTCAGTTTCAACGTGTTAATTTAAAGGTAATTTCAGGTACCAAACTTGCCCAATTACTACTGCCTATTTGTGGTTTAACAGTTAGTTTCTATTTTTTAAGAATAATTTTCTCTTCCCCTCTTGTGTGAAAACAGAAAGAAGTTTAATATCGGTACTTTCAGAATTACCTCCACAAAAACTCACTAGAGCTTCAACATACATAAGGAACAATCTTGTTTTAGAATTCAACCAAAGCTGAAATTCAGCTTCTCAATCTCCACCTAGGAGGCCCTACACAATTTTGCTCTCACTACAGTCTCTGCTCATCTTTCCATTTTCCTCTTTCCTTCCCTATGCTTTTCACCATATAACTCCTTTTGTCTCATCTTCCTGCTCTGATTCATGTATTCTGCCCTCTACACCTGGAATAGTCTTCCCTTCCTCATCCACAAAGAGTCTCTCTTGCTCTCTCTCTCTCTCTCTCTCTCTCTCAAATCCCATGTCTTCAAGCAAGAATGCACCCTGTAGAATATACAGCCTCACATCTTATGTGGCACATTAATAATGAACTATTGCATTGGCCCTGGCTATGTGCAGTAAGGAACTTGGATATATGGGATACTGTTCCTCTGCCCTCCCAAGCCCCTTGCTGCAGTCCCATCCCATTGCCAATTTAAACTCAAAGACTTGGGGGCACCAGTAGGACCAAAGAGCCTCACTCCTTTACAATTCAGGAGTGAAAAACTTAGAAGAGAAGGGTGGCAGGAAGGAGGCCTGAATATTTAGGGTTCTAGTCCACCCCCTCCTCCATAGGATTTCTAGCTTTCTTACTCTAGAGCTGAGCAAATGGACCAGATGAAAGTCCCAAACTAAATTACAATGGAAAAGGAGCAGAGGTGGCAACTGCAGGAGCAGGAGGGAGAAAGAGCAGGAAACGCTTTCTTTGCTTTTCCCTGTTGAGTTTGGAGACGGGAATTCTGCCATTCCCCCTCTTCCTCTCACCTAGCAGGTGGCCCCTAGTGAATTATGTGAGGTTTGTAAAAAGCAACAGAGTCCTGTGGCACCTTTAAGGCTAACAGATGTATTGGAGCATAAGCTTTCGTGGGTGAATGTCCACTTCGTCAGCTTATGCTCCAATACGTCTGTTAGTCTTAAAGGTGCCACAGGACTCTGTTGCTTTTTACAGATCCAGACTAACACGGCTACCCCTCTTATATGTGAGGTTTGCACCCTTACCAGTCACAAAACAGAATGATATATTGAATAAAAGCCTGAGAGCTTCAGAGTTCTAATTCCAGCTCTACCACTGATTCACTGCATGCTTTAAGTAAGTCACTTAACCTTTATCTTTCTAACTCAAATAGGAAAATAATACCTCAACACCACTGTGAGGTGGAAGACTGTTCTCAGAGCAAACATTAATCACAAGTGTTACGGAAGTTCTAAGCAATAAGAATTATAACTATGGTTACCACCTCTGAAATACAAAAAAAGGGCCCCGCTCCCCCACAACCACAAGGCAACTCAGTAACACTCGCCCCTTCAACAGCAACTTATAGTATCTAGCAAGAAAACACAGATAAGATTGATATCATTTTCTTACTTAAACTGTGGAAGTGGGAACACTGCAGCATCTTTAGCTGGACACAGAAACTTTTAACATTAGATAGTCTAGTGTATTGTGATGATAATGCAAATCTTTAGTCCCACATAAAAAAACCTGTCAGATTAAATTATTTTTCTGGCAATTGGCAAATCCATAAAAAACCAGCCAGGCTGGTCGAATACCGACCAGGTGGCAACTCTAGTTGCAACACAATAGTTAAGGTTAATATGACCATTCTATTCGAAGTACCTCTTTTCAGTTATAACATTATTAAGTTTATACAAGTCTTTAGTTCAAATGCCCATTGGAATGAATTCTTTCCAGAAAAGAATAACCATAACCGTCAACATTGTGCAATCTCTCCTCTTTTAAAAACGGAGTTGATGGTAATTCGGGTGGGGCAAGACTATTAATACAATGTTGAATTTGACAATTTAAATGCACAAGACAGGCAGGAAATTTAGAAGGTTCAAATAGCAAAGTTAAATTGTTAAGTTTTCTGATTTTTGCGCATTTAACTTTTCTACTTTAATATTGTAAGCTTTTTTGCATTGAATATTAGATGTTTGCGATGGATATATCTAAACTTTTTCCATCAGAAATGTACCTCACTCAGGAATGTAAAGTATGGTGTCTTATTTTTAATAGGTTAGAAAGAATCCAAGTCTGTTATCTCCTCCACAAATTAGAACAGTAAACAAACAAAAAACAAAAACAAAAACAAAAACCCCTCTGAATGGGAGTGGGGACAGACAATAAAATGCCAGAGAGCACTTTTCCTGGAGGCTACTACACTTACTTTATTGTTTAAGTTTCTGGCCCAATTTCAACCCCTGCTTTGCGTAACTGCTTTTAACATTTTTAAAAAAATGTAAAATAGAGCATCCGATACACTGAAAAGTGACTAGTAAAAAGTAATTTTACCTGAAAATTGTTTTCTGTGACTCTGTTCCACCAAACCATATTGATGGGTACTCCTGTTTTACACCTGTCAGCCAGACAGCCAATAGCGTTCTTTGATTTTCGTGCCTTTGATCCCACCGGAACTATCCTCTCCTCCAGCATCCCCAGTCGATACTTCCTTGGCTACGAAAAAGAAGGAGAGAAACCAGGCCACTCCTAACATCCCTCAGTCTAGAACTAAGCTAAAATAGGTAGAACATCTCTGGATTGGTGGAATAGGAAACAATTTGCAAGTAAAATTTCTCTGAGACTGTTTCCCTTCAATCCCGACTACGAGGCTCTAACTAACAATGCCTTGGAAAGGAAAACAAAACAACTAAGGCAGAGGTAGAGTATCTGTAGGCAAACCGTTGCAACAGAAGTCAGCCACTGAAGTCTGTGCATAGAGTTTGGTGAATTTCATAAAAATGAAAAATTGTGTTTTGCAAAACTCTTCCGTTGACACTTCTCTATTTTTATCCAACAAAGCAGACACTGTTGTAACAGAACAAGTGCGGAGGTTTTACAGAGAGACCCATGGTACCTTCCAACCTATATTCCTCTCTAGCACATACCTTCAACCACATCATGATACTGAACTCTGACACTTTCCTTGGGAAGGGTCAAAGGCTTCCATCAATCAACAGGAAATCAGCTTTATGAAAAAACATTCAAAGGCAAAACAAATATTTAAGTTTAAGGCTGCCACAGCTTTTTCTTGAAAAGCATGGGGCCTTAAAGGAAATTTCAGAACATAAGATAGTTTTGAAGCCATTTACAACAGAACTCATGGAACTATACAAAAGGTCTTCCATCTGTCCAAATTAATATTCAGAAGACTAATTCCAACTATCTTCCTAGATGAAGACAGACATGAAATACAATAATGGAAGAGTACACGAAATGGACTCCAGTCACTCAAGAAAGCAAACCACGCTTTTAAAAAAAAGCAAACATGCAAAAGGTGGTTGTGACTCAATAATAGAGACAACCCTAGTGCCCTGATTATGGAAAACCTGGAGATGGACTTTAAAGCATTTAATTTAATTTTTATGAAAAAAGAGCACTGGAAACTGAAGTCCTTTACAGGCAAAGCACAAGGGCACTGCAAACTTGCCCATGATGTTATACCAATGTATCCTAACCTAGAGAGCAAATACCAGCAGGGACAGTTCAGAGTTATTTAGAGCATGGCTTCTTTACTGCTGCTACAATCAACTGGGGACTAAATTTCCACACTTGAGTGTGGGCTTTAATGCGGCTGCTTGGCCACTAGGATCTGGATTGAGACCAATTACTTAAATCTTACACTGGTCACTGAACAGTCCTAAAACAGCTTTCAGAAGACTTCTAGTTTGGGTAATAGGCTATTGCCTGAATGTGAGGAATGTTAGAAGTCTAGGATTTTGATAAGAACCTGCTGTAAACTTCCAAAATGATCAAAGAATGTTCTGCTATGGTAAAATCCTCATGACAATGAAAGGGAGGGAAAGAGCAGCTAATCTATTTTAGAGTATTTGCCCACACAGAATGAAGAATGTAAACTTTTCAATAGTCTCCTCTCTAAAGCAGGCTTGTAGCAAGAGTCAGTCTGCATTGAAATACCCAAATAGTTCTGAATACTTGTTACAAAGAAATATGAAACAGTCTAGAATCAGACCAGCATGTCTGTTATACGTGGTCCCATGTAATGACTCCACAGATAGGAGATACTGCATGGATATGGATCAACTCTCCTGGGTTCCTGTTGTTACTTCCTTCTATATTTGTAATATGAACTCTTAAAACCCATGGAGAAAGTTTATCCTTATTCATAAAAAATCTTCCTTTTGGGGTATCTACTGAACTAGGTATCAACTGGCAAATGTAGGAAGGTTTTACTGCGATCACGTATAGAGCAAGATAAAAAACTAAAAACTTACTCACCTTCATGCAGAAACCTACTTAACTAGTCTCTCTAGGAAATTGAATGGCTTGTAACTGGACATGCATGGTAAAGATCGTTCCTTGCTAGACAAAATGAGAACTTCATTGGAGGAGATTCCCCCCATTCATGCAAAGCCACCAACACTGTAAGGTGAGTCTAACCAGACTTTCACAGAAGGCTGCAAAAGGAGCCTCTGTTTATGGGGGTTCACCTGACAACCTATGAGTCACACTAGCCAGTCTAAACTCCTACAGAATTCAATTAGCTTTTTGCTTGAATAATCAATTCCAGGATTTGGCCTCCTCACATTCATGACTCTTGCTTCTGAGAAAAATAGTTCAAGTTAACTAATAGTAGAAGATGAAGGATCCCAACTTTGACCTTTAAGTTATAAAGGTATAATGCTGCTTAAAGATCAAGTAATTTGAATCCTTGATGTACAAAAGGAGAGTAAGTGGCTTCTGCAATGTCTCTAGATGGAAATATATAAATTGTGTGATGACAGGACAACACAGTCTCCCCAACATTTTGAGTATGAGTTCATTACAGTAAAGCTAATGATCAGTTGCCCATTTGGAAGACTGGAAAGAGCAACATGTCTGAATTTCTGGAAAGGTATACTCAATACATTTTATATGTGGGGTCTTTTGGGTGAGGCAAAAGAAGTCTTCTCTGCATCAATGTTGAAAATTTTACTGTATTTTTCATGATGGGTGTGTCTCAATGTCCTTGACCAAACTAGCACCTTGCTCTTCACTGCTATATCAAGTACTATGCCCCAACCATCCACTCTCCTCAGTGTTGAAGTTCACGTATGTTAACAAAAAGCTTATGGATCCTTCAGAATGAAAGGTGATCTATAAATATAAATATTTTGAAAAGGAAAACTAAAACAAAAGAGAAACTGAGCCAAGCAGTTAAACCAGAGGGAGGCTGTTTCCTTTACAACTAGATTCAGATTCCAGAGCAGTACAGTGAAACTGAATTCAGGCTTTATGAGGGGTCACAACCAAAAACAAACACACAATGGCCAGTTGTATGCAATATAGAATCCAGTCTGGACTGATAAGATACCCCTAATTCATAGCCTTCCTAACAAGACTCAGGAATTAAAAGACATCTGCATGTAATAAATCTTAGATCTGACACTAGAGGTAAGTTTTTCAAAAGCGCATAAGTGACTTAACAGCCTATATTGGGGTTCTCAAACTGGGGGTTGGGACCCCCTCAGGGGATCACAAGGTTATTACATAAGGGGTCACAAGCTGCCAGCCTCCACCCTGAACCTCGCTCTGAATCCAGAATTTATAATGGTGTTGTATATATAAAAAAGTGTTTTTATTTTATAAGGAGGGTTGCACTCAGAGGCTTGCTATGTGAAAGGGGTCACCAGCACAAAAGTTTGAGAACCACTGGCCTATATCCAATTTTCAAAAATGACTTGGCTTGTCTACATGGTGAGTTACTGCATGGCAGGCCAGGGTCTGAATCTACAGCGCACCAGCTTGCTGTGCAATAATTCACCCCATATAGGCATTTCAACAGCACAGTGGAAGTCCTGGAGTGTGGACTAGACCTTTACACATTCACTGCAGTTTAGCAATGTACACACAGTCAGCATGCAGCAAGATGATGTGTGGTAAATTCACACCCTGGCTTGCCACGCCATACAGACATACCTGAGTCACTCAAATTTTTTTACCCAAGAACCTGAACTTCTACAATGTAAGACAGACATGAAAGCCCTGTCAACATTTTAATAAAAAGAGTGGATATAAGTTTTGAGTAACTTGCATCTAAATATCCCAAGTTTACCCTCAAACTATTCCATCAACGAAAGCACATCCAGGTCAGGATGTACAGACGAGTCTACAGGAAACTGAAAGAAAGGAAAAGGGAAAAAGGAATTTCTGTAGAGAGCTGGTAGGTAAGGTTAGTAAATCTACTGAGTAGTCAGGACAGAAACATCAAGATTACAGATAGCAAGAATATGGCAATTTTATTTGCTACCACAGGTAGAGGATTATGCCTTGGATCGAAGGCAAGAACAAAGCAGCCACTCATTAAGCTTCTAGGAAAACAAGGTTACTTGAGAATGTCTTCTCTGGGAGCTATGACATCCTATGAAGAGATGATTTAACCTGCCCAATAAAGCTCAAGAGCTGCTTGATGCAAGGGCAATTCCCTTGGATGAATATAAAGATGACTGAAAGAAAAACTCCATAAGGAAAGAACTGCACAGCAACAGACTTTTTGCATACTTTGACATCTGTATAATGTCTGTACATTTTAGGAAGGCAACTGACATTTAAATACTGACTTACTAAACAATCTTGAGAAGCATCAGAGAGTTCCTACTAAGAAATGTCTTCACACCAAAATACTCTGACAAATGAGCAATCTTGAATCACCATGTGCTCTAGAAATGTTTCCTGATGCCAGCCCATCTGTTACTTGCTCCCCATTCATCCAATAGAGAGTTCCAGAGAACTCTAGCAAGTCTATTAACTTGTCCATTTTATTCTGCTAGATGGACTGCTTGCTGTAATTTGAAACCTGTAGGATACAACATGAAACTTGTCTAGATTTATCCCTGAGAGAAAAAGAAAAAACCTCACAAAGACCCAAGATGCAAGGCTTCCCTGTTCTAGTAACTTTCATTCAATGATAGAATCTGCACTATCTGCATTATCTTCAAGCCTGAGGTTTTCAGTGTTGTCTGCAGGATTTGAACACTGGGAATTAAGCCACCATATTCCATAGGTAATTTTGGAAAATCTAAGCATAACGTTTATTTGTGTGTGGAAAGATTTACTCATTTTCTGAAATGCATTTATTATATCACTGATAACACAGCATTTTAGAGATATAATACACTACCTGTTCCCAGGATCTTACAATTGAATTCAGTCAGGGAAACATTGGACTATGGTGGGTAGAGAAGATGGAGTATACAACAGTTATCAGTCAGTAGAGAATACAGATTTTGGGACAGTATTGTATTTCAAGGAAAGTAGTTCAAATATGTATTTTTTGTTTTACATAGTTACTTTTGAAGGATTATTTTTATACAAACACCAGACTGGGAACAGATCATGCCTCAACAGAGATGGGGCAGAGATTAGTGGTGGAGAGCTACTCAAGATACTGAGCCATGTTGTTAGTCTACTGGGACAGAACTAGCTTTTCCTATGTTGCCTCCTAAAAAGTGACAATT